GGCCAACACTAGCTAACACTTAAAAGGAACCAACCCCAAATTTTTAGGAGGCACTATGGATACACAAAGAGCTATTCTTAATTATCTTCATCTTAAATTTCTCAAAATATTGTCTTTACAGCAAAAGCGGCATTCTAGCCACAAACTAATCCAAGAAACAAGCTAAGGCATGGGCTGCCCTGGCTGGACCCCATGTATTTCTTCCCTTGACACCCCGACACCCCCCCCTTGCCCAATAACTCAGTACCCCAACATTTTACCATTCTGAACACCATTAGTTTCCCCCCTCCTTTTTCTTTTTTTTTTTTTTTTATATTCTTTCTATGCTTTCCTTCTTATTCAGCTTGCCTCTTTTTCTACCTTCACCTACACTATCCCTCGTCAACCTCTCTTCTCTTATTCTTTTCTACATAGGGTCATAGAGATCCCAACCACCCCTTTTGCAGCCTCCGCAGCACTTGACTTCAGGTTTCATTTTAAATGTACGTTAATTACCATACTTTGTTTTCCTATCTCTTGTGCCCCCCTTTGGTTCTGATAAATCATTACAGTGTAATGTGTTGCATTCTTGTAAAACGGAATAAACTCAATAAAATATAGCCTAGTCCCATTGGTTTAATGTTAAGTTACTAAATCACAATTGCAATCAAATCTGCAATGGTGAGTCATAAGAGTGTGGTTGTCAATTAGCAGCAGGTGATGTCTGTAAAAGATCATTTAGCACAGTGGTGGGCAACCTTTTTTTTTCAACTGAGCCAAATCTCTCCAAAACCACGATTGAAATTTATTTTGAGAGACACATTTTTAAAACCGAAAATACATAGGATGGTACACTGTTTTTTAGTTTCAATAAGTTTTTATAGTAATTCATCCCCCATATAGTAATTCATCCCCCATATAGTAATTCATCCCCCCTATAGTAATTCATTCCCTATAGTAATTCATCCCCCCTATAGTAATTCATCCCCCATATTAATTCATCCCTCATATAGTAGTAGTAAGTAAGTAGCAAGTAGTAAGCCAAGTCCCCCTGTGTCAATTCACTTACCTTTTGCTCCGCGCGTTCCTCTCGCCGTGTTCCCGCGCCGTTCCGGTCTTCAGGGCGGACTGTGAGAGGAGCCTAGCTCCTCTCACGTTTGTCACGCTGCCCCACCTACACACATCCTGACAGCCACTCACTGGCTATCAGGATGTGAGTGGCAGCGAGACTGGCCAATCATTGCATTTGAGCGCGCTGCCCTGGCTGTTTTTTTTTTTTTTTTTTTTTGGATCACGCTGCAGAGTCCCTGTCGCCCGAGAGGAGGGAGGGGAGCGGGCGCCCGGCACACCAGAGCCGCATTAAAGCGTGTAAAGAGCCGCATGTGGCTCGCCGACCGGCTTGCCGACTGAATTAGCACATTGACATGCCAGATTTTAAAGCAACATGAGTCACCTATCTATTCCACTGCAGCATAGTCGCTATCTGAATTACAGATGTACTGGCCCCAAAAAAATGGGCTCATGGTAGCATATGACATGAGGGGACAAACTGCAGGAGTGAAAAAGGTACAGTGAACCTAAAGTGGTTGTATACCTCAGACATGAAATCTGAACAAAGCGCATATTTCTAACCTGTTTACTTGCCTCTTTCTAAAGCAAGTGTCATTTTTCTCTGCTGTCTAGTTCCTCTGTTATCAGGATGAGTCAGTTCTGACAAGTTTTCCCAGACACCAAGAGCTAAAAAGGTGACAGGGGAGGGAACTCCAGCACATAGCCTGTGATTGACAGCCTTAGCTCTGTTCCTGTGTTGTTGTGTCTCTTACCTTCAATCAGCTTTTAGAGCTTATGTACAGTGTGTAACTGCAGCTCCCCACCCCCTGCTTTGTGAATCTGGGAAAAATCCTTTTCATCTGAGTTTTACGAGGATGTACAGGACAAGTGGCTGCAGATACAGGTACAACTTATGTAGGAGGATTTGTTTCACCTTTGTGCATCACCTGAGGCCAGTCTCTTCACTGGCTATAGGTAAGGGTTTACAACCACTTTAAGCTGAAGGGGTACAGGAATAGACAACCACTTGGTAGGCTATTTGCTAAATGTCACTAAAAGCACAGCCTTCAAATATCACAAGACCTAATCCGTTTATCCACTGTTCACAAAGTCAAAAATTTATAGTAGGATTGATATTTAGAAACAACTTGCATCTACAACCATAACCTGATGTGAGGTGTACAAAACCTGAAACCTGGGCCAGTGGGGGAAGGGGGGTATATTTGGAGAAAATGTGAAAGAATGTCTGCATCTAATGTCTGACCAATTTTAAACATGGTGGGCTTTATGTATTGGCTTAGACTGGCATCTTGTTGGAGTTGTTGGCTTTGATTTTTTTTTGTTTATAATGACCAAGAAATAAGGATATTCTCCAAGTGGGAACACAAAGCACTACAGTCCCAATAGGGGGTTCTAGACCTTCAGCACTGTAACCCAAAAATAGTTTTGGCTGATGTTTAGTGGTTGTCCACAGAAACCACTGTTCTGTGCTCTTCTACGTGTAAGTGGAGGCAATCCACTAAATACACAGTTATAATACATGTGTAAACCATATAAACTACTCAGTATATTGTAATTCTGTTTAGAATGTTTTCTAGTCCAGATACCTCTACCAGATAACATGAAAGGCCCTGACCTGTACATTTTTCCATTTCAGTCTAACCAATACATGTTGGTCAGAATTATGGCTAGTAAAGACAGCAGCTCACCGAAAAGGTCATCTGTCCTCTTTTCTACACTTGTCAAGTTTCATTTGTTACTTTCACAGCACTATGCAATGCAGTAAAGCCTGACTGGCTTACAATACTGGCTCTGCCCCTGTCCGCCAGCCTGGTGTGCAGGGAATTATGTGAAGCTAGTACAAAGACAAATATAGGTATAATTAAAAAAATATACAGCGGTAAAATAAGTATTGAATACGTCACCATTTTTCTCTGTAAATTTATTTCTAAAGGTGCTATTGACATGAAATTTTCACCACGTCGGTAACAACCCAGTTCAATCCATATATACAAAGAAACTGAAACAAAGTTCAGAAAATAAGTTTTTTATGTGTAATAAAATGGAAAGACATCGGGAAAAAGTATTGAACACGCCAACTGAAATTTTAATACTTCGTACAAAACCCTTTGTTGGTGATGACAGCTTCAAGACGCCTCCTGTCTGGAGAAACTAGCTACGTGCATTACTCAGGTGTGATTTTTGACCCTATCTTCCAAACAAACTGTCTTCAAATCTTGAAGGTTCCATGGGCCTCTTTTATGAACTCCGATCTTTAGTTCTTTCCATAGATTTTCTGTTGGATTCAGGCGATTGGCTGGGCAATTCTAGCAGCTTTATTTTCTTTCTTTGAAACCAATTGAGAGTTTCCTTGGCTTTGTGTTTGGGATCATGGTCTTGCTGAAATGCACCCTTGTTTCATCTTCATCAAGAATCTCTTGGTATATTTTTCCATTCATCCTTCCTTCAATGATATGAAGTTTGCCAGTACTGTATGCTGAAAAAACAGTCCCACACCATGATGTTCCCACCTCCAAACTTCACTGCTGTGTTGTGTTTTTGGGGTGAAATGCAGTGTCTTTTGACCTCCAAACATGGTGTGTAATATGGCATCTTGATAAAAATTCCTGACATGAGGGGGGGGGGGGGCTTGGGCGAGCTGCACCGCACTGCCTGTGTTTATGGATGCAGGCAGCACTGCGTGGGATCAGGCAGGTGTGCCACCATAGGAAGTGGCTTCCTATGGTGGCACACCAAGAAGGGGAGGAGTGCCAGCAGGGGACCCAAGAAAATGAGAATTGGGGCTGCTCTGTGCAAAACCATTGCACAAAGCAGGTAAGTATATCATGTTTGTTATTTAAGAAAAATTACTTTATAATCATTTTAAAGCCCATGAGCTTTTTTTCACCTTTGGACACATCAGACACCCAAATATGCAAACTAGTTAGAGATTTAAGGCATACAGATATATTTTGCATTTTTCCATTGATAATCTAAAACCAGGGGAGTGTTTTTTAATTCCTGAATATACTGTAACTTATTGCATATACAAGGGGGGCAACCATTAGAGGTTACACCACGGGTGCTTAACCTGTGGCCATCCAGGTGTTTGGGAACTACAAGTCCCATGCGGCATTGCAAGATGACAGCTACAAGCACGACTCCCAAAGGCAGAGGCATGATTGGGCTTTTAGTTCTGTAACAGCTGGAGGGCCACAGGTTGAGCACTCATGGCTTACACTGATAGCTACTGAGAAAAATTGGGTAATGCAAGGTGAATGAAAACGGTGTTTATAGCTTTTGCTTTATATATATTTTTTTTTTTTTTTTTTTTTTTTTCTCTTTCTATGCATGGGTTTGTTTTTGCAGCCTAGACGTGTGTAGTGTAGTGTAGGTTTAGACTGCAGGTCAAATTTTGTGTGCAACTGAAATGTTTTGCACTGTAGGGCTTTGAGCAAACACAAATAAGATAACCATAAAATTGGTCCTGTCACTTCAAGAAAGTAGTATTAGAAAGAATGCTTTGGATGAATTCTAGACACTTTGACTTATCCTGATCCTCCCACAACACAGTGCAGGGCCGCAGTTCATTAAACAGCACATTGTGTTGTTGGGTGTGTTCAAATAAGTCTTCAGTTCCATCTATGTAAATCCAAGAAGTAGCATACTGCAGATCACACCTGCCACAACATGTTTGCTTGAGTCTTGGCACCCTGCATCTATGGGTTCTCATACAAGTGGGTATAGTTTCAGAATCTTCATCTTTATGGTTAATGCAAGCACCTCTGCCCAGGAATATGTTTTGCTTTAATGTTGTGGTTTAGGTACTGAAATTACAAAAAAAAAAGGGTCATTGGTTTTATTTTATTTTAAAATAGTTAATGTTTCAAGCATTAATATGGAATTATTTATCTATCTGAAGATCTTTTTGTTTGACATGTTGTGATTTTTTTTTTTTCTTTTTCTTTTAGGTTTGAGCAGGCAATGGGTTCAGAGCTGCTACTTAACTGTATCTTGCTGCTGTGCCGTGGTACTGTTATGCCTATGGACCTTGTGTCTGTCACAACCAGCTCTGGTACTCGCTGTTTTTCTTTTCTTAGTGTGGCTTGGGGCTTTATCTCAGATGTGGACATAGAAAGTGAAAAGTACAGACACATGGGCTCTGCTCGCTTCACTTTTGGGACCATGGTAAGAGTTGCTTCCCTGCGTACTTACAGAGGACGCCTTTCCTATCTGCCTGTATTAGATGCTCACCGTCCCATTTGCAGGAGTATCACCCTATCTCCCAATGGAAGCCTTGCTCCATTACAGCGTTCCCAGCTGCACCGTACTATTTCTGATATGGGTCTTTGTGAAGAGCGTAATATTATGTATGAAAGAAGCTCTGCTGCACTCGACACTAATGAGCTACCAAGCTTTGAGACTTCACCCTCTCCTGGCTCTCCAACAGCATTGCACACCAACCAGTTCACGTTTGACTCCGTGCCTGATGACCTGCCTGAGCATGACCATGTGCTACCAAATGATGTAGAGCATTCTATTCACAACCAGGTAAATGGACCCATTGATGATCTTCTGCCTCCTTTAGGCCAGCCTTTGCCCAAATCCTGGGTTACTGTGGAAGGAGACTTTGTTCTAGTGCTTGGTATCTACCAGACTCACCTTGGAGCCGACTTATTCACAGCACCATTTTCCTACTTTGATGATGGACTGATTCACTTATTCTTTGTAAAGGCTGGAATCTCCCGGGCAGCCCTTGTTCGACTCTTTTTGGCCATGGAAAAAGGGACACATGTTGGAATGGAATGTCCATACGTTGTGCATGTTCCTGTTCGAGCATTCCGCTTAGAGCCTCTCACGAAAAAAGGGAATCCTTACTGTGGATGGGGAGCGGGTAGAATATGGCCCAATTCAGGTTCAAGTACACAGAGGACTTGGAAATCTTATCACTGGGTCTGGTAGAGTCCGTATGACCCCTTTCTAGGCCTTTCTTTTATCCTAATGGTCTTGTGCAATGCAACAATCCCTCCTGTTTAGCTACCTTTTTTTAGTTGATCTAGAATACAAATGATTGTTCTGAATTAGAAATGATGACATTAACTTAATTTTGGCATGTGCCTCCTGTATTTTTCTGGTGCTAGTCACCGATGGGAGCATGGTTTGGATGTGTGAATTGGTGTAATTGATAATGTAAATATGCAAAGAAAACTTTAGGCAACTTTTGCTGATAATGCACTTAAGTAGAAATGCTTGCTAAAAATGTTATTCTAGTTTTCTTCCGGTTTATTCTTTATATGTGCTTCCTGAAAACTAATAATTATTTATAAGCCAGGAATTGGGTGTAGAAGATTGTACTTATAAAGTATAAGGCATCTGCAGGTCCCAAGCAAAATGTATTTAATTTCTATTTAAGGCTGCTAATTGTACTTAAGGCCTCATGCACACAACAGTACAGGGACTGTACAGTGCACAGAGCTACAGTACGGACATATCTGGAACTGCTGCTGCCACATACAGTAGCCCATTGAGATGCATTAGAAGAGGCAACTGTGCACGTTGTTTGCCAGGCGTTGTGTAAAGCACCATTATGTGCACTGACATTTGCACCGAATGCAGATCGTGTGATATGGCAGCCTCTTCTAATAAATCTTATTTGGCAGTTGTATGTGGTGGCAGCTGATTCTGGAAATGTCAGTACACAGGCTCTGCATGCTGTATGCCCAGGTACATAAAACCTAAGGCAGTGCTGCTTACTGGCCAGATATGAAGTGCTACACAAATATAGAAGTCAGGAGCCAATTGTTCCTACCCTGGAATCAACAGGTGGGTTTTTTTTTTTTTTTTTTTTTTTTTTTTTTTTTTTTTTACATGCTTTAGTTGACAACAATAGCCAGGCGTTATGGCAGAAGCAGAATTTTCTTGTTGGCATCTTAGCTTCTGGGACGTGTTTTGCCACATTGATGAGTAATGCTGCATTGATTACAATAACCTTGCTCATATAGCAAATAATTTTTTTAAAGGGGTTTTTCACTTTGAAAGTCTGGACCATTGTTTGATGCTGCTTACATATAGACCCTCTTATGCATGTCCCCATTCCACCTAACACATGCAGACTTGCTTTTAAGTAAAAAAGGGAAGTGCTGATGTACAGAATACACTGACCCCTATCAACCAATCGCATTTCACTTTACTGGAGTTAGATTAGTGAAAGATGCATTTTGATTGGTTGCAGTGGGTTAGTGCAATTTCCTTTTGAACATGGCTGTTTGCCTTGATGAATAAGCCTGTTTAATGTCATATTTCACAATAACCCAATGATCAGGTATATTGGTGCTCTCTCACTTTTATATCTGATATGATGTTCTTTTCTAAGACTCAGTACAGGAATGAGTTTCTCACTTATGCTTAAGGGATTTTGAGAAGCAGGCATTCTTTATGCTAATGAAATGGGAATCTGCTTTTCATTTGACAGCCAAAACACCTTTGGACAAATGTATTGTGAGCAATGAAAATGGTTCAGTTTTACTCAGCAATAAATACTTAATGATATACAGGTTACTTTCACTGTACACAAATTCAGTATTTGAAACCAGAAGTTTACATTCCCTTTTTCTAAGTAACATAACACTTCTTCTTCTTTGCCTACCCTGCATATTGCTATGCCTTAGTCAAGCACAGCCATGCTTGATGTACATGTTTCTACTCACTGATTCAACTGTCTTCTACATTCCTTGGAAACCATTTGACAGCCTTGAATGTGATTCTCTCCTTCTGTTCAGTTTATAGGCTGGCTTATGAATGTCTGGAAATTATTTTTAAGATTGGCACAAATGCACCTTTTTCATGTTGCTATTTACAAAGTATTAACTGCTTGTTTTATTTGTTGCTGTGTCCTTGTTTACTGTCTGTACATTACTTCTTGATGATTGGTCACCAGATGCAACTTTTAAAGAGACCGGCTGTTGGTAACTGATAGTTTTGATTAGATGCAGGGAGAGACTGCATCACCAATCTGATGAGAAGGATTACCTCATTCATCAGCCATCAAGCTTCTGTCTTTACCCAACTGCCAATGCTATTAAAATGGAAGTAAACTCTGTGAAAAATACCTACCTCCTAGCATATGGTTTTCTGGAGGAGACACAGACTCTTCTGCCAAAAAACGTTTCTCTTTCTGTTAGCAATTTTTTTTCTGTGTACTCTGTATGGTTCATGCACCATGAGGTGAACATTCTCGACTTTGGTACCAGGGATGATGTCATTTCTTTGCATGCACAAGAGTTAAATCTTCAATGGGCACCCAGCAGCTAGAGCAGCCTTTCTCAACCTCTTCAGCGGGATCCTTGAAATAACTTTTCAGTCTCGGGGAACCCTTGCTAAAAATTACCATATCTACAACCCATAATACATTAGTTTGATGGTTAATGGGAAGAATGCGTCTTACACTTGTGGTCATTGGGAAGAATTGCCCCGTTTTAGATAGCTAAAAAGATCAATGGTGTTAGTGGGAACTTCTCAGAGAGGCAGAAAATGCTCTTTGCTCAAGGAACCCCTGGTAACCTCTGGAGGAATCTTAGGGTTGCTTGGAACCCGGATTGAGAAACCCTAGGATAAAGGGGATGTCTGAAAACCCAGAAGTATCAGAGATGGTGGTGGGAACAAAGTCTGCTTTGCACGGAGCTGGAGAAGTGTACCCTTGTATGGTAGGTGTGCACATCATGGAAAATCCCACCCAGCACACAGTGCTTTAACACCACTTTATGATGAAAGGGCTCACACTCCCTTTATTTTAACTAAAAGGGGCTCAAACAAGAGTTGTGTCACTGAGGGAAGGGATGGAGTGAAGCATGGCCAATAACACAGGTAGATCTTATAGCTGAAATATTTGATGGGTAGATGATGTAGCTTGAGTCCTCAAAGCACATATGACAGAACCTGGTGACTCTGGACTCATCAATGTTCACTGAATTGTCAATGAGACCCTGGGAACAGCACATTGTAATTTGTATTCATACCTGTATGAAATTTTATATTTGGATATTACACGTAAATTTACTTATTGAGTAGGACACCTTGCTTACTGTGGTTAAGTGCCTCTATGCAGTTTACCCCACCATAGTCGCCTCCCCTCCCCCCCGTGGATGATCTCTGTGCCAACTACAGGTGTCATTTAGTGTGATGTCAGATGAATCCTGGTAAATGCTTCTCTTTTCATATCTCCATACAGAAGGTAAAGCTTTACAGTCCAAGATTAAAGATCAGCAGTCGGAAAGTTAAACTTGAGCCTACCGCCTGACACCCTTCTTGCTGAGTGTCCACTCATATGCTGTCTCACTGAAGTGGGGCTGCATATGTTCGTGTTTGTGCTGAGATCACACTGCACAGAGAACAAACTGTTACTCACAGCTGTATTGATCGAGAGTTGGAAAGGCCAGCTCTTAATTACATGATTGCTGTGATAGCCTGTAATTTGCTATTACCGTGATCAGTCACTGTACAGCTCACCCTGTACTCATCTTTAATGGAGAAAAAAAATAAGTTGTATCTTTTTCTCTATGCTAGAGGAGAAGTAAAAAAAACCAAAACAAAGTCCTGTAAAGCAAACAAAAACAGTAAGGGTAAAATTAGCTAGGTCAGTGTTGGTGTAATTTAGTTAGGATTTAAAAAAAAAAAAGTTTTCTTCATTTATCAGTGTCTGTGTTTTAGGTAGGATAAAAAGAATTGTGCATTATTGGTTCTGGGCCCAGCTATGGCTACAAACAAATAACATACACATATGTGGTATTGCTGCAATTGTCAGGAGCAGGAGAATTTGTTCTGGATTGTTCTTTGGTCATATGTCATGTTAACAGCAAGAAATGTACAGAAACAAAATCAAAATATATTCTATTTTTACTATTTTGAACCAGATTTTTTCCTTTTGATATAAAAAAAAAATAGGAGATACCCATTACCATTTACCACCCAGCGAAAGCCCAATTTGTCCTGAGAAAAAACAAGGTATAATTCACCTGGCTACACCAAGCAGTTGCTATATGTACAATTTTACTAATACATGCCAATGGTGCAGAACTGGGTTCAGACCTTCATCACAAAAGGGTTAAACACAAGCAGTGTTGCTATCTAGGAAGAAAAACAGTTTGCTTGATTTGAAATTGTTTAAATTAAACCACATTGTGGAGTAAGGGGATGTGTCTTATAATATATTTATAACTTGCTAATACATTATTTGGTAAGAACATGATTTTTGGCTTGTCCCATTTCCCCAACTAATGATCTAATTGTGGTTCCTTGACTGGTTTTATCAAGCAGAGGACAGTATATGATGTATAGTTATTTCAGTCAGTTGGAAATTTTGGCTTTTATTTAACAGATTATTCTGAAGTGTTGAAAGCTCATTTCAGTTTGCCACAGCATACCTCCATATATTTTTTTTTTTTTCTGGTATTTAATCCAGCCACAGTTTAAAGTTCTTAGTCCTGATATCTGGCAGATTAAAGACACCTTGTCACCAATGTAAAAAATTGTATGTAAAGTGCAGAAAAAATAGTTTATTTTAGTCCTGGTTCACACCGATG